GAAAAGTGGCGAAAAAGTTATTTATATCTCCACCGACATCATGTTTAGGGTTTCCAGATTTTTTATGCGCGAAATCAGTACATTAGACTTTTTCATGCTAAAAAAATCAGTACTTTTCAGTACATTTTTATTCAAAGCAAAATTATGAATGTAAGCAACAGAAAATAATTTAAAACGACTGAGTTCTTGTTTTTAACAATATTTTGGTATATAAATAAAATATAATTCATAAAAAATAAAAGTGTTATTCATTTTAACATGAGTGTACACATCATTATACAAAGGAGCCAATAAATTATTTTATATTTGTGACTTTTTGAATAGCAATAACACTGTATGGCAAAACCAACTTTTTTCTGGGTATTGGACCAAACCATTTTTTTTTTAAGAGATTGAGGGATAGGTAAGTTTCTCCGTTCGAAGCTTGAAATTGGACCTTTGGTAGAAAATTATTTTAAATTACTGTATGTAAACTACTAAAAAAAGTAAAAAACATAGTCGTGGTACACCCTTTTCTCTTATTTAAACGATATATAACTTTTTCTATGTTACAGGTGCTATAAGGGGTCAAAGGTCGGGTCTTCGAAAAATTATAGATCTTATATTTCAAACAAGTTTGAACTAATTTAAACAAAATTAATATCGTCACAAACGTGATTAAACCCGCTTTCTTCTGATATGAAATTTGTATACTTCGTATTTGTAGATCTGAGAAAAAACATTTAAAAGGAAAAAATACCTTTTTTTTATAAAAAAAAAATATTTTAAATAAAAACGCCATACGGCTTCACTAGTAGTTCATAAAATATAAAAATGTTATTAATTTTAACATGAGTGTACACATCATCGTACAAAGGAGCCAATAAATTATTTTATATTCATGCCATTTTTGAATAGCAATAATGAGATCATTCCCATTTTCAGTGTTTAAATAGTCAAAGAATTCTATACATTTCATTTTAAAATTACTTTTAATTTGAAGTTCACTTTCAAAAATTTTAATTATTATTAAGATCCTCTCATACTGTAAAAAGGTACCACTTTTTAAGGAGTTCATCTATATTTCCTCATGGCTTAAATAATTTTTCAACTACGCAAAAACTGTGAAAGACTAAAAATTCGCTAAAAAGAGTATCTAACTCTATGTCTTTTATGCAAAACTCTTTTACAGAGTCAGTAAATTGAGAAAAGGGAGTTGTAAGTTATAGACAAAAGCCATTCGAATATTGAAATTTATTGTTGTTAAACTGAAATTTATTTTCGAGATAATTAAAAACACTCGAGAAAAATGTAAGCCTTCTTTTTAAATAATTTAAGCTCCATCATGTTAACGCAACTGGCACGTAACGACCCGGCGATATGCCCATAAAACGATTCATCTTTTTGTTGTATTAATTTCGTGGGCATATCAAACATTATCTAAAACATGTCAACTATAATTAAATTATTTTCTTCTTGTTTTTTACTGTACAGTTTAAGGAAGTTCCAACGTTATGTAAAAACCTTAAGAAAATACTAAAGTATTTTGATTGAATTGAAAATTCAGTACAAATCAGTACAAATTTTGGAAAATCAGGACATTAGCGTACTGATTGAAGAAATGAATAAAATCAGTACTGTACTGATGAAATCACTACGTCTGGCAACCGTAATCATGTTCATCGCAGTACGGCTGCGGTAATACTGACTTTGTGCACCAAACAAAGAGCGTACATTTTCCTCATATACACAATAAGCCATCGTTCGGACTTTCCTCTGATAGGAGTAGATTTGTTCCGTTTTGTCGAAATAATTTGAGGCCTGGTCCTCTACTCCGCTCAACTGAAAATCTGCTCCGTTTTGTTGCATCAACAAATTTACTCTTCAAATAGAAGGGAGGTGGGGTTTTTAATAGCAAACTAAAATTTATATTTTACGTTTTTATCGACACGATTGTTACATTGGTGAGCTACAGCACCTCTGCAAATACACTTGAATTCGTGAATAGGCCCTCACAATCGCCCGATTTGAACACGATCGAAAAAGATTGCTCTGTCCAAAGTTCTGTAATTGCGTCGTTGCCCACCGATGTAAGAACTGTCCCGGTAAAGAAAGAATGAAATAACTTTTTATTAATTTTAACTAAGGCATTTTAACTTTAATGATAATTGCTCGCTGGATTAAGGCGCCTTTACACGGGTCGATTTTCTAGTAGATTTTTGTCGTTCAACCAAAATCGACCTGTGTAAATGACATCTCAATGGTAAAATGTAAATGCTTTGGCTAGTCGATTTTCTAGTCTACAGAAATCGACCCTTGTAAAGGCAGCTTTAGCCCCTTATTTAGTCCCAAAATACAGTGACACGAGGAGAAATGAATTTTTTTTTATAAAGATAAGAAATGGACATCTACTACGAAAACTTGATTTTAGGACTCCGAACCCAGCTAAGAGCACTCGATGAAGGTCAGCTAGTGATCAGTATTGCCAAGTTTTTTATTTAAAAAAGCACCAAAACACTGAAAATAGCGCAATTTTCCCAAAAAACACCAAATTTGTGTTGCTGTGTTTAATGGTATTTTTGCATATAAAGCTGTATGTTCAAATATTTTAAGTAATCACGCAATGTCACTTGTAAATATTTCCAACTATGTGCAGTTAATTAATTTAATTTGCAAAATGTTTTTTTATTCGTAAAACAATTTGCAAAAATTTACATGGTTTCTCTAGCGGCTTTATTTTGCTTAATTAGCAAAATATTCTATGAATTCCATGATAGAGACTGTGTGAAAATATTGCGTTTGGATTATCTGGGAGCATATTATCCAAGGGGCCAAACACTGACATATGTATGTGTAAGTCAACGGATGAAGTTTTCTGTACGTTTGGATTGAATAAATTGTAAAGGCCAGAACACCAAGTGGTTGATTCACCACGAATAAATGCCAGTTTATTGAAATTAACAAATAAGTTTAGTCGAATGGAAACAATAAAATAGAATAATGAATGTTTAAATTATGTAAAGTAAAAGATCTTATTTCAGTGTACGCCTTGCTCTCGTACGTGTGTCCTCGTTCGCTGTTCGTTTAACACTGTCCTCGTTTACCGACTGTGACAGCTCGGCCTCTCCTGACATCTCGTCGTTTCAGGACGAGTCACTTTCATCATCTTCGATGTCCAGCTCAGGGCTAGTGGCACACCATGGCTTCAGGTGATCCACTGACAAGACATTACAATAGCGACGCTGTGTCACCGTGGTATCGGGCAAGTCCTCGATGATATACCTGTCGTAGTTCAGTACTTTGGTCACCTGGTATGGACCCTTGTACACAGGATCCAGCTTGTGAGATTCACCCGTGGCGCTTGGAACGTAATCCACCACAACCAAATCTCCAACCTCGTACTTACGCGGCGTCTGATGCCGTTTATCGTAGCGTTCTTTCCACTTATTCCGTTCGGTTTGGATGTTAGATGCTGCATCGGTTTGCTTCTCCTCCATATCGAATACGTGGACAGGTTCATCCTGGATGGCTTGGACCATTCGGTTGTACGTGACATCTCTGGGATTGAAGAAGAATATCAGCTCATTAGGCGTGTATTTAGTTACCTCGTTCTTTTATGAGTTTAGGCTCCATTGGATTGTTGTCAGACATTCGTCCCATCGTTTATTATCTTTCACCATGCATCTTAAGGCGTTCGTTACAGTCTTAACAACGCGTTCCGCTTGCCCGTTAGCTCTCGGAGTTCGTACCGCTGTCTTCACGTGCTGAATACCTCGTCGTTCCATAAATGCCTCGAATTGCTTTGAGGTGAAAGCCGTGCCACGGTCTGACGTAACGCGCAAGGGTTGTCCGAAGATCGACATCATCTCTTCCATCGCTTTGATGACGGGCTGACTCTTGGTGTTCCTGGCTGCTTTCAGCATCACATAGTTACTAAACCCGCAAACCATAACCAGGATGTAAACATTTCCAGTTTTACTTCTGGGAAACGGACCCACATGGTCGATGTAAATATGCCTGAATGGAATCGGCAAGACGCTTGCCACATGTAATTGACTCTCCTTTTTACCTCCCTTCACCTTATTTAGACAGCACTCCTCACAGGCTCCGATGTACGATTTCACGTAACGGCGCATTCTTGGGAACCAAAAGTGTGTTCTCAAGTGTTCTAGAGTTTTCTCCAACGCGAAGTGTCCTGCATCGTCGTGACTTGCTTTTGGCACTCGCCATCTGACTCCTTGGGGTACAACAAGTTTGTATTGTCCATCAATCGTCCGGAAGAGTCGCTTTAACCTGCTTCATCACATCGTTATCTACAGCTTCTCCCCCATTAAGGATCGCACACAGTCGTCTGATTTTCTCGTCTTTACGTTGTATGGTTGTCACCCAGTCCTCGGGCTCCATGACCTAACTGACAGCTAGAACCTTGTCTGCAACTGTATCCGGCTGTACTGGTGATTCGACTGGTAGTCTGCTCATGGCATCAACGTGCTGCTTGTTGACACCCGGTCGGTGTTCGCATGAGAAATCAAACTCCTGCAGGCGTAGCCACCATCTTGCTATTCGTGGTCGCAGTGGCGTGACCTTCTTCGTTGTAACTACGGCGTTACAATCGGTTCGTACCACAAACGTCGTGCCCAGAAGGTAGACCCTGAACCTTTCCAGTGACTCCACAATTGCCAGTACCTCCAATTCATGGCTTGCATATCGTGATTCGGCTGAGCTGCACTGCCGACTGTAGTACTGCGCCGGCTTCCAACCTTCCTTCTCGAGCTGTAGCAAGACTCCTGATATTCCCACCGAACTTGCATCGGTGTGTACCTCATGCTGCTTCGCTGGATCGAACATGACCAGAACTGGTTGCGTAGTTAAAACTTCCTTTAATCTTGCGAACGATTGTTCTTGTTCTTCCGACCACTCGAACTTTGCGTTTTTCTTCAACAATGTGGCCAGTGGCTTGGCTATGAGACCGTAGCCTTCGACGAATTTCCGGAAGTATCCGGTTAACCCCAGGAACTGCCTTACTTCGGTCGTTGATCGTGGTCGTGGAAAGTCTCTGATGCTTTTTGTTTTCCCTTCCCGGGCTGCACACCATCTGCACTCACGATATGTCCCAAGAACTGGATCCTAGTTGCCAGAAAGTTGCATTTCGACGGCCGTAATGTAAGACCGGATTCTTTGACCGCTTGCAAAAACTCGGACACCACCTGAATGTTTTGTTCCACCGTCTTCGTTGCGATTATGACTTCGTCTACATAGCTCACAATCTTATCGCGATGCTTTAAACCTCTTATCATCTTTGTAATCATTTCTTGGAACACCATTGGAGCGTTGCGTAGGCCAAATGGCATCACATTATGCTCAAATAAGCCCTCTGGTGTCAAGAACGCTGTGTATGGCTTGCTTTCTTCCTTCACCGGAATCTGGTAGTATCCTGCTGTCATGTCCAGCGTAGTGAAGACCATGTTTCCTACCAGTTTTGCTAGTTGTTCTTCAACAATAGGCATAGGGAAGTGTTTCTTCATCGTTACCGCGTCGAGAGCACGGTAATCAACACACATCCTATCTTCTCCGTTGGACTTCTTCACGATAATAACGGGTGCCGCGTGTGGTGATGAACTTGGTCTAATAATGCCATTATCCAGTAGATCGCTGATAATCTTTGCTAGTACTGGACGTTGATAAAGCGGAACCTGGTATTGCCTTCCCATTACCGGTTGGTCTGTGGTCACGAGGATCTCCATCTGCGTTGTCTTACATCGTCCTAGTTCAGTCAAACTCTGCGAGAAGAAACTACCGTATTGCTGTAGCATGGTTCTCATCCCTTGACTGTCTGCTTCGTCCAGATCTTCGTTGATTATGAAAGGTAATTCACTTCGCTGATGCACTTGCATTACGCCTGACTCGATGGTTAATCTACAATTTCCTTTGCATAGTACATCTCTACCAATAACTATATCATAATGCATAACCTCATCTGGGACGATATGACACGGGGTCAATATCGTAGCTCCATCGACGACTAACTCTGCATCGACGACCGCTGTGCTGGCTATGACTGCCCCGCCAAAGCCCTCGAGTTGCTTGATAGAAGATGTCCGTGTCGCCTCTTCAGGAACTTTTGATGCTGCGATAAGCGAAACATCACTACCAGTGTCGATAAACCCTCTAAACGTCTTGCCGTTCCATACAACATCTTTACTGGCTGCATTGGTTGTTTGCTTGGAGTCCTCCACTACGTTTGCGACCGTTGGTCTTTCACTTCGGCATGCTTGAGCTTCATGCCCCATCTTATTGCACTTGCTGCATTTGGGCTTCCGTTGCGGTTGTGGGCATTTTGCCGCGATATGCCCATATTGGTTACAGTTGAAGCACTTCATTGGCTTCCTATTCATCGTCGCTCTTGAACCTGTCTCGCTGGTATTCTTTTCGTCACTTGAGCTTACCCTCGGCTGCGTCGGACCGACGATCATACCCTTCAGTGAGCGGAGTAAGTCATTGCATGTTGGTAACTTAAGGGCTAGTAGTGTGCGTGATAACATTGCATCGTTCAAGCCTGATATGATGTATGCATTAATTGACTCCTCGTCCATCTTACCTCGTCGACCCATACTCAACATCACATAATAGTATTCTTCAAATGTTTCACGCGATTGTCGTTTCCGTTGTGACATATTGCGGTGCACCTGTGCTGACGTCATTGATGCTGGGAAATCATGCTCAAACGCTTGAACAAAATCCAACCACGATTGGAAAACCTCTTGCGAATCTAGCCATTCCTTGGCGACACCTTTTAGCTTAGATTGCGCTGCTACTAGAGTCTCTTGCTCTGTCAACTCGTATGCCCGGCGTAACTGTGTTACCTTTTCGATGAACACTTCACTGCTTAAGTTATTCTTCAACGGATCGTACTCCGGCATGAGAGCATAAATTTCGCGTCGGCTATTAGGTCGAATCTGCAACGTTTGGGTTGTTCCTGCCGTTATTGTTGGCACTCCGTCTCCATTCGCTGGAGTTGGTAGACATGTGGTCGGTTGTTGCACTTCGCTTGTTGTCTCTGCACCTACATTTCTGCGGGACGTCACTAGTTCACCCACAGTCCTCGTTAAATCTAGAATAGCCCCACGTACTTCTTTTATCTGTTGTTGAGCACTTGCTGCCTCACCATCGACTTCCAATTCTTCCACGTCGACTTCGTCTCCATCGTAAATTTCAGCCAGCTTTGCCAGTTTGTGCGCCTTATTGCCGACAGCGCGAATGTTCTGGCTTTGCAACAATTTATTTAATTGCTCCACTTTAAGTGAGTTTAACTTTACTTTATTCATCTTCTCTTGAAACTCCGTAACCATGAGGACCTGTCCTCTTACCTCTGTTCAACCTTCTTTTTTTCCCCCTCGAAAACGTCCGTTCGATTCAAAAATGCTTCGCGAATCTTCTTTTCTTCGCTCTGCTTTCTGCCCCTTCTCTACTTCTTTCCTTTTCTTCAACCAATCTATTTGTGTTGACAACTTTGCACTGCCTCCCTGCTACAACTTCAGTAACGACTGCCGTATCGACTTGCGTATGCCGCAACTTTGTTTGCTTTGTTCTTCTTTGAACTAGTGGCAACTCCGTGTCGATATTATACGTTTATCGGCACTTACCCTTTCCTTCGTTCTTCTCTGCAACTTGAGCGATTCACCTTCTACTTTGTTGAGGCAACGTTTCTTGGAATTCTCTTTTCCCCTTGTTTCACATTCAACGGCCGTTTTTCCTTCCCGTCTCTTCTGCAACTTCTTATGCAGACTTTTGTAGGCTGTGAGAAACAATCTCACTTCTGAGGTGTAAAGGCCAGAACACCAAGTGGTTGATTCACAACGAATAAATGCCAGTTTATTGAAATTAACAAATATGTTTAGTCGAATGGAAACAATAAAATAGAATAATGAATGTTTAAATTATGTAAAGTAAAAGATCTTATTTCAGTGTACGCCTTGCTCTCGTACGTGTGTCCTCGTTCGCTGTTCGTTTAACACTGTCCTCGTTTACCGACTGTGACAAAATGAATGAACAAAATAAATACAATGTCACCATAGAATCACGTTTTTATTATAAAATTGCCTTGAAAAGGGCACCAAAGAACGAAACAAGCGCTAAACTAAAAAAATTTCGCGTTTTAATTCCCCAAACGCACTTAATTTATTGCGAAAGGCATAAGTTGGCAACAGTGATATCGATGTCAAATTTGCACATATACAAGCATGGATAGAGAGTGAGCGCCTGTTTAAGCCCTTTGGTGGCTAGATTTAGCTACCAAATACTTTTTTTGGCCACGTAAATTTAAAATTGCCCCTAGCCCTTTTTTTAGCCCTTCGGAGAATTTATTCATACTTGGCATGAAAAAGTTGTATATGCTTAATTTGATCTCATTTTTTTTTTTCATTTATGTAAGAGATGACTTTTTAAACTAAGAAAGACTGATATATATACATGTATGTATTGTATGTTCCTTACGCTTTTATACATACATACTGTAAAAGTGTTAGGGCTGTTAACTTATCTATTAACGATTTAACTATAGTTTAAAATAGATAGGTTCATGGTCCTTAATATGCTTAATTTGTTAAATGACCCATCAAGTCGATTGACCGTGTATGTTTTTGTGGTGTGATTGTACCAGCTGCTGGTGTCGTGAGTGGTGAAATTAGCTCAATTTTCTAAGTAAAAAGTATTTTGGCGGATATTTCTTGCACTATATGAGTCAAAGCCTTGTTTGTGGAAGATTATGTTTACGTTATTGCAGTTGTGAATTAAAAACAAAAAAAAAACAATGTTAAAGAAAATGGTAGAAAACTTGTGAAATTTCGGCTCTAACCATTTCGATCTTTCCTCGACATCATTTGCAAAAAAATAAATATTGTACCAGCATGCTGGTAAGTTATATGCTTCGAGCCTGATTGTACAATCACTTGATGGAGCCATCAAGCTGGTGTCGTATATTTCCCCTTTTATACAAAAAGGTTTTTGGTTGGATAAAATATTAGCTTTTTTTCCAGAGTTTATTGTTTTTCTATACCATTACTTCTTGAAAATGTTTGCGTGTATACTTATATACATATGTATATGTAGGTAAAGAATTTTTGCTACCATTTTTAGTCATAGCGACTTTTTTTTAGCTCTTTTTTTAAAGGAATTTGGCTACCACTAAAACTTATTCGTGGCAACACTGATGCAAATACATGCGAGAGCGTAACAAAGTGAACGCAAAATCAATTAAACGTAATTGGCACACTAACACAATCACACTTTCTGCTCGCGTTTACTTGTGGTAGTGATCACATACACTCCTCGACATTTGAATTGCACACCCTTTCAATCTTTAGTATTTACAGTTTTCCTTTTGTTTAATTAATATACATTTTTTGTAAAAATATAGCATATTATACGGGTAAAAGCATTTTTAAATTTTTTTACTAATTAAAACTTCTTTTCCATATCTTGGGCAGCATTTTATACGATTTTTTCGTTTTTCTTGAGAGCTGGAAACAGTTCTTAAAAAAGGTCAACATAGGAGTGCGCCATCCTAATGACCTGCAGTGAATAAGTTAATAATGTTTTTAGAAAAATTTCAGACATGCAGTTTTGTAGCCCATTCAATTATAGTGTAATAAAGTGCAAGTTTCAAGTTTTTTTATTTTTTATTGACGGTGCTGCGCATTTTATTCCATATAAAAATTTTGTGGAGCATACTTTGTATGAGGGAAAATGCGCAGCACCATCACCAAAAAAATTGTCAAAAATCACCGCTATTTTACAGACACTTGAAACTTGCACTTTATTGTACCCCTTTGTTGACATTTTTTTAACTCTGTATAAAGTTTTAAAATCGGATGTAATGAATATTAAATAAACAAAATTAAAAATGTAAATACTAAGGATTAAAAGGTTGAGCTATTCAAATGACGGGGAGTGTATGTGGCGTACGTTTGGGAGAGTGGGCCGTTTTACTCCAGAATGCGTGTGCACTGGCTCTCATTGGTGTACGTGTATTAGTAAGATTCGTTACCCCCTTCATGTTTGCCCATGATTTTCCCCTGGTCAAGCCCACGAAATGGGCTCACTTGCCCGTACGGCCAAAAAAGCCCATACGGGGAAAAGTGCCCATGTCTGCACTAGAGCGTTCTTTGATCATTGAAGGTATGACACATGAAATGGCAGTCGAACAAACAGTTAACGTTTGTAGACTTAACACTCGATCAAATTTGGTTAAATCAATTTTATATCGTCAACTACTTTCAGTGATTCCAAGGACGTAGTGGCAAAAATGATAGTTGAACAAAATAATCAAGTGAAAGAGCGTCAAGTGTTAGCGTTTAGATCCCGAGTACATAGGCCAAATAGTATTAGAGGTAGCTTCAGAGGTCATAATTTTAATAGGTACAACAATAATAATTTCAGACAAAACAACTTTAATTTCAATAGGTACAATAATAACGGTAATAACAGTAGGTACAACCATAACGGTGCAAGGCACAACGGCAACAATTTCAACAATAATAGTAATCGGTCATCAAATAACAATCGAAACAATAACAGCAACAATAACACTGTGGAACAAATTCAGGTTAGCAAAAGTTAGGTCGATTCTGAGAGTGAGGGGAGAAAATAGAGGCTAAATTAGAAGACCCGTATCGCGGCGTTTGTTTATGTTAGTTCGAATTTTTTTTTAATCGACCTTCGAACTTTGCAGTCAAATGCCGATTTTCAGCATATTGTTTATATGGTTTTTTGGCTATAACTCGTCGACTAATTGATATTTTTTCAATCTGTTAAAGCCAAATTATTGCTAGAGACCTGTGCAACAATTAAAATTAAAAAAAAATTGATTTAGAAAATTTTTGTAGTGCTTATGAAGCAAAATGTTGGAAATTTTTTTTTCATGCTTTTTGAACATATTTTCCACAAAACTAAGTCGTTTTTGCTTTCTGTTTGATCTATAATATGCTTCTCAGTTTCTTCAATAAATTTCATTTGAAAAGAAAACAATCATAATACAAAACTTGCGTTTTCCAGCTTAATATTAATTTACTTCTCATTTCTTATGTACCAATTTTTTCAGTGTTGGTTTTGAAGAAACATTGAAAAAGAAATTACAAAAATATGGAAAAAAATATAATTTTGAAATGTTAGTTATGAAAAGTTTTAAGTAAAATTAAATAAATTAAATTAATGATATGGCCAGTTGCCGTTTAGCAGGCGGCTGTGGATCAACATCACTGCTCCCTCTAATATCTTGGCCATCGTCATCATCATCAGAAAGGTCGATAATTTCGTCCAACAGATATTCTGGAATTTCATCTTTGTCTTCCTCTTCTTCCTATTTTTCCTCGTCTTCCTCTTCTTCAAAGGTGTTTTTATACCACCAACAAATTTCAGCGAGTATTGCATCTGGAGATTTCTTTCCTCTGTACCTGAAACGAAAATAGTTTTCAATCGTTAACATGTTTAAATTGTGCATCTAGGGATTCAAAATATGCACACTCTATAGTTACCTTATTTCAAATGGAAGCGCAGTTTGGTGATAACGTTCGCCTTGCTCAGCAGATTCAGTTGGCAACTGTTGAGCGAGTTGATCAAGATGCTGATGCAAGAGATGAATTTTGTAAGACATATTAGCCCCAATTTCATCGAAAGCTGCCAACATGTTTGCAACAGATTGTCTGTAGTTGTCTTTGCGTTCTTTACCCAAAAGTCCTTTAATGACTGCTTTCAATGCGAGCCATGCATTTAATTCTCGGTCTGTCAGAACTCGGTCAAAATCTTGACGACTCATTAGTTTCCGTATGTCGGGACCATTAACAACCCCTTCCTGAATTTTGGCGTTACTTAGTCTTGGGAAAATGTCTTTTAAGCGGTTGAATACTGCTGGTCTTTTTGCGATACATTTAAAAAAATTTTTAGCAATGCCAAGTTTAATGTGGAGCAACGGCAACAAAATTTTCATTTCAGGAACAAGACTTTCGTGTAGCCTATTGTCTTTAGGCCAATGCGACTCGTCCAGTTATGCTGTTTGTACTGGTTTCTTCCTTTAATACCTTCTCCGTATCGTGAATCCCAATCGCACAAAAAACACGGATATTTTGGACGGCCAGATGCTGTTAAGCCTGTAATCAATGAAACTATTTTAAGGTCGCAGCAAATGCGCCACTGGTGTTCGTTATATTTGACTACATCCAGAATCTGTTTCAAATTATCGAAATTTTCACTAGTGTCAGTGCTATACGCAATTGGAACAGAAGGCATTCTATTCGTCTTGTGCAAAAGCACTACTTTTAAGCTGATTAGTGAACTATCGATGAATAAACGCCAA